CCCTCCCCCCACCTCTCGCCTCCCCCTCACAGGTGAACATGATCGTGCTCAACAAGGACCTGGGCATCCCCAAGCCCTTCGGGCCGCAGGTGGAGGAGCAGTGCTGCCTGGAGGCGCATGTGCGGGGGCTGCTGGAGCCCCTGGGCCTGAGCTGCACCTTCCTGGACGACATCTCCGCCTACCACAAGTACCTGGGGGAGGTGCACTGCGGCACCAACGTGCGCCGGAAGCCCTTCGCCTTCAAGTGGTGGCACATGGAGCCCTGACCTGCAGGCCTCAGCCCCCGCCCCCCATGCCCAGGCCCCTCGCGCCCCTCTGAGCCTGCCCCTGCCTGACAGGGAGGCTGGACAGGCCCCTGGAGACCTTCGGGAAGGAGGGAGGGGTTAGGGCCTCTGTGCCTCAGCCTCCCTTAGAAGACCTCAGCGCCCCGAAGCCACCCCATGAGCCTCACTCTGTCCTTCCCAAAGATATCTGGGCCTTTGGCCAGTGGGTGGCCAGCCCTGCCGGGAAAAACAAAACCCAGCAAAAAACCATGGGCCCAAACCACCCCCCAAAGACCCTCAGGCTCTTGTCCAAAACTGAAAGAAGGGGAGGAAAAGCAGGGTTTAGGGTGGCCAGTTCTCCTGGCCATGCCCCAAAGTCCTGGGAATAACGCGGGAGAGAGACCCTCAGCTCCTGCCCCCTGTTGCTCCTTTCTAGCCTCTCCTGGACCCCCGGGCTTTCTCGCTGCGGTGTGGACACCAGTCACCAGCCCCACTGAGGGGCCCATAATTTAGTGGCTTAGAACCTTCCCTGGAAACAGATTTTGCCAGCACCCTCTCCCTTTTTGAGGGGCCTCTGTGCCCCATCTTTCTCATGGACACAGAGTCTCCCAGAGGCTTCGGGGTTTCTTCCAGACCAGCCTCCTTACCACCTCGGCCTTGAGTGTGGAAGGGGAGCGCAGGGCCAGCCAGGTCCACCTCCTTCCTGCTTCCCGACAGCAGCCAGTCCCTCCTCTCGTCACCTCCACTTCCTCCCAGTTCCTGATGCCATCTGCAGGCAGCTACCCCAGGGCTGCTCCTCACCAGTCCAGCCCCGACCTTCCCCCAGGACATAGACACCCTCACATCAGGCCACACCGCTGAGGACACTGTCCTGGCCTCCAGCCGGTGCTGGACCAGCCACTGACCACCGAGACGGACTAGTTATCCCACTCACCAATGCCTCTCTGATTTGGACATAACCAGAAAATTCCCTGGTCCCAACTTGAAAAGTCTCAGTTTCAACCAACAAAAGTTCCTTTAGGGCTAACTGGTGTCAAGTGAATCTTAATTCCACTTTTTAAAAGTACTCACTTATAGCCAGTGAAAGGGAACAGAATTTTCTTCTTAGATTACTTCATTTATTCAGTCAACAAACGTTTGTTGTCTGCCTACTCGGTGCCAGTTACAATGTTGGTTCTGAGGATACTGTGGCTAGCAGCAAGTGGGCCAGATCCTTGTCTGATAGCACTGGTCAGTTCCTGGCACATAAGGCCCACGTTTCAATGGCCAGCATTTGTACCTTCCGGCCAAAGAATTTCTGTTCTTCAGAAACGCCAGGCCTCTCTTCAGGACTAGCACAAGGCACAGAGCTCCCAGCTATGTATCTCAGTGTCTTGCTGTCTCAGTGAATGGGGTTGGGGGTCTTCTCTAAACAGGCCTGCTCCCTGCCGCTGGGCCAGAGCCACCCAGACCCTAGAACCTTCTGAAACTGTTGTCCTTTTGTGGGGACAATGGCCCACGCCTTTAGGGGCCAAAGCCCCCACTCTCCAGCCCCTGAGCTGGAGACGCCAAGTGCCTATTTTGAGGGTGTTTATCTGGAGACTTAGAATCTGTCCAGCATGTTCGGTTACTTAATGTGAGTTTGGGGACTTTCTCTCACTGTTTGCTAATCTCCCTTAAGGGACACGAGCGTGCGCCATGGGGAAGCCTGTGTGTTTGTGGATTTCCCGAAGGCTCTCCCTTTCATCGATATCCCTGTCATCTGGTGTTTATGGAGCCCCAGAACCCAGACACCTGTCCCTCCTTGTTGCCCAGTGTGAGCAGCCTCAGAGTGAATATCACCTCGCCCCCACGGATGCATCACTCTTCACCGTCCCCCACTTTCTATAAATGTAGGCCCAGATCACACTTCCATGTTGCAAAACTCAGCCAAGTTCCTATTTCGAGCTTCATTTAGAAATAGTGTATGCAAGAGGACAGGGGTGTTGGGAGGATGGCAAGAAGCGGGGCACAGTTTCAGCTTGCTGGACAGAGGCCATGGTGGAGCTTGAAAGATGTTCAGGGGAAACCTGAATTAAACAGCAATAAAATAACAGTCAAGTGGCTGTGGTTGTGATGCTTGTTGCTGCTCTTAATGCTGCCTGGAGCACTGCAGACCCTCTCCTGGCCTGCAGATCCCGTCTTTCTGGGTACAGGACCAGGCCTCTCAAAAGGGTATCTTAAGGCTTGCAGTCCTCCACCCTCACCAGCGGGGCGCGGCACGGCCACCACGCAAGGTCAAGACCAATACCCATGACAAAATCTGAGTATGCTTTCTGGTACAATGCCCAAGAAGCAGGCCCTGAGGTGAGCATTTGCAAACAGGAGATTTGTTAAGAAAACACCTCGAGGAGGGCCCTCCCTGGTAGCACAACGGATCAAAGCACAGCACCACAAACTAGCCGCAGCCGCTTCAGCACAAGTTCGATCCCCGGCCAGGGAACTGACCTGCATGGCCCAGCAGACCTCTCCTGTCTCCCCACTGCTCCCCTCAGCAGTGTACTTCATCCATCTGCCTGTTCTGCTCCCCACTCCGTCTCTGGGGAATCCTCTCACCCCTGCAGCTCTGGCCTGTACCCCAGTTCTATATGCACAAATCAATAAATAAATCCTTTAAAAAAAGAAAAAGCATGCACTAGACATTGGCCCCTGCCCTGGTGTGCAGCGCCTGCAACCTCTAGAACCCTGCATCTCCAGTAGGGCTCCCCCAGATTCCTCACCCAGGTGCCGTTGTTATTGGGGACTTAGGATAGTGCAAGGTGCCAAATGAGGCCCGCGGAATCCCTTCCCAGCTGACACCCCGGGACATGCCCAGGCAGCTGAGTGTCAGCCGCTGCTGTGAGAAATGTGTTCTTTCACCATGCTCCCCCACCCTTCACTCCTCCCAGCCACCACCCCACCCTCCCACCCCCAGCCCCCCAGTGGGCTCCGCCCCCCAGTGGGTACAGGGCCAGGGCTCTCAAAAGGGTATCTTAAGGCTTGCAGTCCTCCACCCTCAACAGGGGGGCACGGCACGGCCGCCCCCCAAGGTCAAGACCAATACCCACGACAAAATCTGAGTATGCACTAGACATTGGCCCCTGCCCTGGTGTGCAGCACCTGCACCCTCTAGAACCCTGCATCTCCAGGAGGGCTCACCCAGATTCCTCACCAAGGTGCCGTTGTTACTGGGGACTTAGGATAGTGCAAGGCGCCAAATGAGGCCAGCAGAGGTCTGACCTCTGGCCAGTCTCAAAGTCACTGCCAGGTTCAGGCCAGTGCTGCCTTTGCCTCCGCCCCTCACATCCCACCTGATGCTTTTGAGAAGACCCCAAGGTGGCTCTTTAAGAACCTTCTCTGCAAACCTAAACCAAAGCAAACCCTAGAAATCTGACCACAGAACTGAGGCTACCGCAGAACTGGGGGGGGGAGCCGGGCGGGGAGCCAAGGAGGGAGGAGCCCAGTGGACAATGGTGGAGGCTTATGATGGGGGGGGCTCCCCGCTGGTGGTGGGCGTGGTGTGGTCACAGACATCTGAAGAGGGCTGAACCTGTACCCCCAAAGGAGTCCCCTGTCGTAAACTAATGTTGCCTCAATTTTTAAAAAGAGAATATGTTTACCAAGAACCTTCTCTGGCCAGCACTCTAGCGCCTGTTTACAAGTTCCAAGGCTACTGAAGCTTTGAAGAGAAACATTCTGTCATCAAAGGCTTGTATTGTTTTCCTCCTGCTGGTGATTCCTGCCACACAGTCAGAGCTCAGCAAATAGGTTTTGAATGAAGTATCTGTTTTGTTTTGTTTTTTTTCCAGGTGGGAGGTTTTATTATGTTTTACAACCATGAAGAGACAGGAAGGTGGCCATGAGGGCAAACATTTCAGAGGCAGGAGTCGACCGCCCTGCACCCACCCCGCCCTGGCAGCCTCCTTCCCTTCCACACACCCCTTGTGCGGGATGGTTCTGGGGTCCTTCCTTTTGCAAAGTCAAGACAGTCAGATGCAGACACTTAAGGTATCGGGAACATCATCAGCAGAATGGGAGCGGGTTAACTTTGAGAAAAGACTGATGAGAAACTCGCCAGAGAAGCCAATCTTGGCTGCTGAGATGGGAGGTCGGAAGCACCTGCGACTGACGGCCGTCCTCCTAACAACGGAGTCATACGGGGCCCTTGGGGACCCTCCAGAGGCAGGCTGGGCGCACTGTCAGCCATGGGACGCTCTGCTTTCTTCATGGCGGTCAGGCCCGGAGGCTCACGTAGGGCTTGTGACAGGCTGTGTTGGCCAGAGGAGGGTAGTGTTGTCGGTAGCAAACGTAGGCGAAGATGAGACCATGACTCCACAGGCACTGGGAACAGAGATAGGGGCCCAGGTCCACGCTTGGTAGTTACCATGTCTAAACCGGGGCACTGTGCCACGCCCAGCCAGGCTGAAGGGCATGAAATGGCACTTTGAGAAGCAGAAGAGAAAAGAAAATCAAAAGGGTCACAGAGACGATTTCATGACTCAGCCTGGTGTCCTACATCACCCGTCCAATTTTCAGACTCACGAGTGCCACTTTGCAGACAAGGAAACCAAGGCTCAGAGGAAGCCAAGTTCAAGGTCACTGACAAATGAAAAGCTCAGGTTTTTTCCTTTCTCCAGGTAGGGAAAAGCCAGTTCTTTGTTACACCGTCTGTCTCTCTGGTGTGTGCTTTTCCTCCTCACACAGCACGCCTGGCCCCCAAATGTGTGGCGGCTTTTCCCCACACCCAGAGATTCTCTGCGAGCCCAGTGCCACTTCATCCGACCCTGTCTACCTGGGGGTGCTGCCGGTCCCAGGGGTTAAGGGCTCAGTCCCACAGACTGTGTCACGGCCCCCACGCATGTTCACACACACTCCAGATGCAGAAACATTGTTGAGAAATGATCCTAGATTGGTGAAGCTAAAGATTGGAGTCAGGCTGGAAATACTGGGGTTTGAGCAATGGGAACCCCCGCCCAGAATGAGGCTTCTGCGGTCACATGGCCAAGCCTATATTTCAGAAAGAAGGTGATAAGATATATTTCTTTATTGCTGTTAAGCTCATAGGAAACTTTTTTTTAAAGATTTATTTACTTATGCATACAGGAACTGTGGTGCAGGCCAGAGGTGCAGGGGCGGCGAGAGGATTCACCAGAGGCAGAGTGGGGAGCAGAGCAGGCAAATGGATCGAAATCCACTGCTGAGGAGAGCAGCGGGCAAGACAAGAGGTCTGCTGTGCCCTGTGGGTCACCTCCCTGGGCGGGGATCGAACTCAGGCTGCAGTGGCTGCTGATAGCTTCACAGTGCTGCGCTTAAATCCATTGCACCACTAGGGAGGGCCCAGGAAAACATTTTTTTTTTCCTTCAGTCTGCCACTGGAAACAAGGGAATAACTGATTCTAGTCCACAAGATACAGGAGCCAGACTGGCCTGAAGAGCTAAGCTTCAGGTCTGCTGCTTAATCACATCACATACCAAGTTTGCTCCAGGAAACCATTTTTAAGAAACTAAAGAGTGATCATGGTACATTGCTACCTTTAAATACTTTGCAGCACTTAAAGACATATCTATGAGCACCAGCATGGACAGTTCCAAAACAGAGCATTTGGTGTTGGTTTTGAAAAAAAAGAAAGAAAGAAACAACCAGCAAAGCCATGGATTTTCATGGGTATATATGGGCAAAGGATAAGCTATGGAAGAAATCCAGTGAAGCTGACAACAGTTATCACTGCTGGGAAAGAAGTGTGACTGAAGGGATTTAAATTTTATCTATGGTACTTAAAATTTGTACATAGTGAGAATTTACTTACATATGCATTTTTAATCATTTTTTTAAAAACTGCCTGAACCCTCTGGCTTCCCATCCTGATTAGCATAATCTCTCCCCCAAATAAACCACAGCTCTCTGTGACCTCACTTCTTGCCCCAAATGGGCATGCCAACCCCAGTTTAAGATTAATAGCTCACTCCTTACAAATTCAAGCAGCCTCCTCCCCACAGAAGGGCTTTATGACTACTTTCGCCCCTGTGAGCAACCGAACACTAATCACAGAGAGGTCACACAGTAAGTGGCAGATGTAACAGGATCTGAGGTCCCTACCGCCCTGCCAGCCTACACACTGAACACCTCCACCTTCCTAACTTTCTGGAAGGTCCACTTGCTTTCATCACTGGGCCATCCTCTGACTTGGTTTGTTTCCAGCGAGCTCATCTCCAGCCACTACAAATGAAGATTCACCACCATCCCCATTTTACAATTATTTACACGTCTCTGTCTCTGAGAGAAAGGGGCTCAAATTCAGATTTAGCTGTGCAGGGGATTTTATCCTGTGCCGTACACTGTATTTACACACTACACACACACATACACACCTAGACGACCAAATTAACCACTGACTTGAGAGGATGTTGGTGAGGTGGCAGGCAGGTGGGAGTCAGAGGTTAGCAGAGTGAGTTCTAGGTGCACGTACGTGCACGTACGTGCATATGTGTGTGCTGAGATCCAACAAGGTCCCAAAATTCCCAGCATCTGAGCTGCCTCTAGCCATGAGATACAGACACAGCCCCATCTGGAGAGGGGATGACTTGGGACTTTTTGCTCCCAGAGTTCCGTAGCTCATGATATTGGAGAACCTGTAGCATGTGGTTGTCCCAATCACACCAGGAGAATATTTTGAGAAGCCTGATTATATGGTGGGGTTGCAGGAAAGTGGGTTTAGCTCAGCCCTTAGGGACAGCACGTCTGCAGGGCAGCGAGGTACTCTGGGGCAGGTCTGTGGGGAGCGTGCGCCCTCTGCAGGTAGATCAGAGTAGCTGCTGTCACCCCAGGCCAGGAGCCCTGAGTTGGGGTTCACAGACAACTCCCTAACTCAAGACCCTAAGGGAGATGCTGTGTGACCCAAGGTGGGTGGCTCAACCTCTCTGAGACTCAGTTTCCTCAACTATAAATAAAGGACAAAAATGTCTACTTCGTGACGTTTTTGTAATGATTAGAGAAAGAAAACTTACCCAAAGTGCTGTGCATGGGGTCTGGTACACAGGAAACCCCTGAACGTGGCAACTGCCAGCAGTAGCAGCTCTGTCCTCACCATCCACTGCTCCTTGGCCAACAGTAAAGACGAGCACCCAGGGAGCCAGCACGGGGCAGCTTCTCAAGAGCGAGGACAGGCCAGGTTGGAGCAGGGCCGGAGGAGAGCTGGGCCAGCATGACGGATAGCATTTTGACTTTCCAGCTATGCTACTCCAATTCTGGGAGACTGTCTACACCTCTTCTTCTCCCTACAGCCCTGAGGCACTGCCTCAGAGTGCCTTATTACTCTGCTCTTTCAAAGGTGAATACCCTAGGCAGAGAGCTGGGACGCGTCTGGAAGTGCCCAGATGTTTGCAAATCTCACAGAGGTAGCAGATCTGCTTGCAGGCCTTCTGCAGCTGGAGGGCAGGAAGGCAAGGCGTACTCCGTCTCCCCTGTGAGGGTGACCTACTTTCCCCGTACACCCATCCTCTCGCCATCCCCGCCTCCCACCCAAAGTCCCAGGGATGGAGCAGTTGGTAGCCTGGGCTGTGACCACCATGATTCCCTCCCTCCTCCCTCCTGTGCCCACCTCAGTCCTCCTTCCTCTCTGGTGTCTGAAAAAAGCATCCATTGCTGTGAGGTTGCCTCAACGCTCTTTAATGCACTAGGGAAATAAACTGGGGTGAACACCACTAAGAGATGAGAGAGCATTCATGGAAATAGACAGGAAGAGTAAGCTGTGTGCTTCACCAGGACAAAGAAGAACCAGGGTGATTGTCCCACTTCCCCTTACTGTCTCCGTTCCCTAGTTTGGGGGTGTTTTTTTTTTAAGATTTATTTATGCATATAAAACTGGGGACAGGCCAGAGGTGCAGGGGCAGTGAGAAGAATCACCAGAGACAGAGTGGGAAGCAGAACAGTGAAATGCACTGCTGAGCAGAGCGGCAGGGAGACAGGAGAGGACTGTTAAGCCATGTGGGTCATTCCCTGGCCAGGGATCGAACTCACGCTGAAGAGGTGCTGTGCTTTAACCTGTTGCGCCACCAGGGAGGGCCCTCAGTTCCCTAGTTTTTACCTGTGAATTGTCTCTAATGAAAATGTTGCTTTTTTCATCACAGATTTTTTTGTTTTAATTTTTTTAAGTGTTGCACTAAAATGTGATTTATCTTAATTGCCAAGATTTTTGGCCCTCTTAATTTCCATGCACTCCCCCTGTCCTAGCCCTGGTCCTGAGATTAAAGCTGCCTGAGCTCCCACTGGGCTCCCCCTCTCTTCAATACCTGACTCCCACCTTTCCTCATCCCCCATTTTTATTTATCCCTCTATTCAGCCAATCAGCTTGCCCACACCCCTACTCTGCATAGTTCCCAGGCCAGGTACTCTGAAAACAAAGATGAATTTGTGCATTTATTAATTATGGGTCATCCACCTGCTGTGGACTGGTCACGAGGCTCTGAGGACACAACCATGACCAGGACAGAGTTCTTGGTGTTAAGAGATTCAGATAATAAATAACTTCATAGAGAACTAAAAACACACTGGCAGGCAGCTATACAGTCTGTAAAGAAATCAAGTAACTGGGCCCGGCCCTCAGCTGTCCACTGCCTACGGAGATGCACATTTAAGAGGGTAATGCTTAAAGAAAGTGTTATAAGCTTTGAAGGCAGGTAACAGACATTGTTTTGATAGTCAAGGGATGATCAGGAACTAGCCTTGTGGGAGAGAAGGAAAGACACTCCGGAGTCAAGGCATAGAGGTGAAGAACAGGGAGGAGACCAGAGCAGGTTTAATCACTGCAAGACATGAGACTGAAGTGGAGTGGGGAGCCAGTCCTGGAGGTCTAAGGGGCTCCTACAGGGAGTTAATGGCTGGTTGGATATGGTGGGGCAGAGTCACGGGCCAGGGTAGATTTCTGGCTCGGAGACTGGGCAGATGCCAGTGAGGGAGCTGTAAATGCCTCAGGTCAGATGTACCAGGGAAGGCTACATTTTTGAACCCATCAGGACACCCAGAGAGCTGTGCTCTGGAGACAGCTGGACCAAGAGACGGGATCAGCCAGACAGTGGAAAGGTCCATTTGTCGAAGGCAAATCAAATCCTGAATTTTGGATGAGAAGTCCTGTGAGTCCATCACAAGGATCAATTGGGTTAGGTAGAGTTTTCTCAAGGTAAGTAAATCCCCAGGCAATAAAATCACCTACTATTTCCCCCTAAACTAGCTCTTCCTAGCTCTCTAGCTTGGGGGAAGCCAGGCACAAGACTCTGACACACAGTTGATTGTCCAAATGTGTCCAGACACAGTTAACTGACACAACACAATGGTTTTTTGTTGAATTTTTAATTCTGGATTTTACTTCCAAGACTTGGGGAAGAAACAGCTCTTATACCAAGCTTTCTACCCAAGCATGCTCCACTCACTCATCATCCAAAGACTAAGGCTATTCACATACAGCCTTATGTGTTATTTTGACACATTTGTAAGTGATAAGATTCAGAATAAACAAAAAAGATCTAGCAGACAGTCACAGTGAAAAGCAATAGTTCACTCTCTACATCAGTGGAAACAAACTAAAGCACCTTGGAGCTTATCACGAGGACACCTTGGGAAAATATGGCAGAGCCATGAGACTCTCTAAGTCCTTCTGCAGCTGTTCTGGAATCCTAAAGTTCAGGGCGGAGGTACAGTCACCCAGGAATTTGTTCGTCCGTAACTCTGAGCTCTCAAATCCCCATGAAGCCCAGGAATGATGTGACTGCAGGGCACGTTGACCCACTGGCACCAGGAGCCCTTCCATAAATCAAGGTCTCACTTCTTTGGGCCTCGGCCTGCTTTTCCCAAGGTGACCTGGGCAAAGTTAAAGGGTAGTTACTTCTCTCAGAGTGCCATCTGCCTTTGAATGAAAGAGCCTTAAAAATGCCAAAAGGGGGCCCTCCCTGGTGGCACAGTGAGTTAAAGCACAGCACTTGCAAGTTAGCCACAGCCACCTCCTTGTGAGTTCAATCCCTGGCAGCCCCGGAGGCGATCAACATGGTACAGCAGACCTCTCCTGTCTCCCTGCTGCTCCCCTCAGCAGTGTACTTCGTGGATCTGCCTGTTCTGCTCCCCACTCATTCTGGTGAATCCTCTCACCGACTCTCACCTCTGGCTTGTACTCCAGTTTTGTATGCATAAATAAATAAATCTTAAAAGAGAGAGAGAGAGATGATGATGATGAATCATAACATTTGGCACATTGTAGGTGCTGGAGAATTGTTTCTGACCCTAAAGGGCTAACTAAGCCCGGGACTGGTATCCTTTCTCTCCCCGACTTCAAAGCACAGTTAATAGTAATTGTGGGGGCCACAGTGCCTCTGAGTAAAGGCAGAGGGAGGGAGCAGTAACCGCAGGGCGCGCTCCCTGGAGCATCCCAGCCCCCGGCTCGCAGCAGCGTCCCATACACGTCTTGAGTGGGTGAAGGACGAATGACACCTTCGCCTTTCGCTCGGAAATCCACACTGTCCTCCCACCAACCCTTCCGATTTGCCGGGCACCGAGGGATTTCCAGCTACACGGGGCTCTCGATCCTGAAACCTGGACAGTTGGGGGAAACCTCCTCAAGTTCGACAGAAATTCTGACTTCAAAAGTCGCCGAGACAGTCACTAAGATTAAAGTGACAAGACAACTTTTCAGGAAAGAGGGGGTTTAAATCAGTCCAGGGTTCAGAACGACGCTCCGCCCCTTCGCGCGCTCTCCACGCCCCCCCGCTCAGACTCCGCCCCCTTCCCCTGGGAAGGTCACCTTAGAAAAGCGGGAAGCCCACTGGGCGTGCGCGCGGCTCCTGCACACGCTCCCATTGGCTCTCTCGCCTTCTGCCCTCCCACTTGGGAAACCGGAAGCCGCTCCCACTCGGTGGCTCCTTCGCGGCTAGCGGGTCCTCTGTGAGCGCTGACTCGGAGCCGCGGTGCCCGACGGGACACCAGCGGAAAGCGACCTCGGAGCTTAGGGGTGGGGCTCAACGTCAGAAGTCAAGATGGCGGCGGTGGTCGGAGTCTCCTTGAGGCGCCGGTTTCCGGCTACGACACTTAGCGGAGCCTGCCTGCAGGTGAGCTCCGGGGCCGAAGTGGGGAGAGAGCAGGCATGGAAGTCGCGGAGACGGCCTGGAGCTGAGGGGGCCTCGGCGGAGCCGAGGGAGCCAGGGAAGACGTCAGGGCCGGAGGACCCGCGGCCCCCGGCTCAGTGCTCGGGCTTGGGGCTGCAGTCTACCTGTCAGTTACCCTGCGCATCGCGGCGGCTGTGTGGGTCAAAGCGAAGGCGATTTTTAGACATAAGAAGCGGTTCAGAGAGGAGACTTGAATTGCCCAAGGTCACATGGCGAGCGAGTGACTGATGGAAGCAGAATTCGAACCCAGAGATTTAGACCCCCTGACTTTCTGCCAGCAAACCGTCGCCTCCGTAGAAAAGACAGACCTGCCGGCAGTGTAAGGGTTCGGGACCTGGAAAGCGAGGTCACCCCTCCGGGGTGCAAGGTTGAGGACTCAGGACCGGGCCAGGATTAGTAAGGAAATAGCGGGTAAATTGCTGGGGACAGGGCAGGAGAAGGGATGGACGGAGGGAAATCCCCTGCACCCCTGGAAGGATCCGGACCTCCCCCTGGTTAGGAGGGCTGCGGGAAAGGCTGCGTTTCTTAAATCAGATCTCAGATAAATCCTCGCCCTTCTCTCTGGAGGTTGTAATACCGACCACGCAGAGCCGGAGCTTGGTCCCAAAGGTCGGGGTGACACTGCCCTTGTATCTGTATTACTCCGTGCGCAGAGATACACCCCCACGCCCCTCGTGTTGTCAGGGAAACCTCACATTTCTGCTGTGGCTTCTAAATGGGAAGATTTACAAAGGGAAGGGAAGGTGTCGTTGTTTACATAAGGGACTGAGGATTTCAAAACCTAGTCAGGTATTTTTTCCTCTGGACACCCGTCACAACCCTTGTAAAAAATGAGCAAACAGGAATTCTGACCTTTTTTTTTTTTTTTGAGATTTGGAAACAGGCCTGAGGTTCTGCTTGCTCAAAATAGCACAGCCAAGAAATGGTAGATCCAAGATCCAGGTTTGTTAACAGGCTCTGTGGAAAAATTCCTAGCACAGGTCTGGGCGTGTGGTAGGTGTACAAGAGATGTTCCTCTTCCCTTTCTGCACCTTCCCTGGCCACATAACAGCCCACAGGGCCTGTCCGCTCCTCCTAGCTCTTTTCAGCATGCTGTTAATGCCATTTTAGAGTCTTTCCGAAAAGGGGGTGTGGGGAAGAGGACTGCTCTCCCGAGCCTTAAGCATCAAATGGGTGATTGCTTTGTCTCCTAGCTCCTTTTATAGTTGCTGGGCAAGTAGTTAGGTTGTGAGAGCCTCACCAGTAAGAGTGGATCCTAAAGATCAGGGCATTCGTCCAAGAGTGAATTCTAGAGAAAACTCATTTTCTCTCTAAGCCAGTGTTAATGTAATTCCAGGCAAGGCCTTTGCAGGGCCTCCTGAGAAAGAAAAACAGAAGCAGCCTCTCCTGTCCTTGCAGGAATCTGTGTCCGTACCCTCAAAAGACTCCAGTGAGCTTGCTGTCTCACTGTAGAGTTTCTAGAACTCTAGGACATGACAGGCTTTTCTCCTGCACTCCTTTCGTGCCAAGGGTCTGGACCACAGATCTGCCTGCTAACTGTCATGTGTCGCCTGTTCGTTGCCTTCATGCGCACTCTGGACTGTGGACCCCCTTAGGGCAGGGACCTCCTCCTCTCCATGAGGTATCACTGTGCCCACCACTGCCAGGCTGAGGGTTCCTGCAGAGTAGTTAAGACATGATAACGAGAAAGACATGGAATGTTGCCAGCATTGAAAGCAGCGACTGTGTGCACAGCTTATTGAAGCTTATGCTTCCAGTTAACCTTTTTTTTTATAACAGTTTATTTTTACATCATCTTGTACATTTTTTTTT